TTTGAGAGGCATATATGCTGCACACACACACACACACACACATACATACTAGAAACAGGAGGGCTAAGATGAAATGAAGTACAATGACTCGTAATCTTTTTGGAAGTTACATTTTTGCTGAGAGTTTTGTTGAAGAAATAAAGAATGCTTATCACCGCTAAATACAGGCCTCGGATGTGATTCGCAATGGCTCAACATTTAAGTCGAGCAGCAATTCGCAAAGAACACATAGACATTCGTCACAAAGAGTAAATGGACATTACATAGCGACACGCTAACCTATCTGGAGTAAATGTAGGGAGATTAAAGTTAGTTGGATGGTTGGTTGTTGAGGAAAAGTAAAATAAACAAGGGGGCGGATAGATTTCTGAGAATTAATTGTAACCTGTGTCAGAACTGAAGTGATAAATAAATACAGTTCAAATAATAATACTTTGTTCTATTCACAAAGAAGATAAAGTCAAATATGAACTGAGTGAACAGGCAAGTTTCAAGAAACAATAAAGTTGATATTTGAGCCTAATCGCTGAACACGGTGTGTAGAGTCTTATTTTAGAAATGATGTGCTGCATTGTGCCTCATACAAGTTTTAATTCTATCTGTGCTGTATTGTGATTATTTTATGTGTGGCAACAAATATATATATATATGTTTACAGTTAATTAATCAAATAGCTAAACATATTTTTATTGAATATAATTCCATTAATCTTTGAGTTAACTGTATATTTAAGGAGAAAAAGTAGAAGGTTGTTAAATGAAAACAGATATAAACATGGCCATGACCCATGGGCATAGGAAGGTACATTTGGATATGTATTGCGAAATGGAGGTACTTTTAAAAATGATAAATGAAAGCAAAAGTCCAACAAGAGGCCGAAGCAGGGAGAGAGGTTTAAGGAGGCTACACAAAAGCATGTTAAACAGTTATTAGGAGAAAAAAGGCAGATGCATAGTTGATGGATATAGATCCCCAACTAGTGGATACGGAACAAAAATGAACCTCAACAGATATTCATGTAATAACATACAGGAGAGAGGAGCCAGGGAGATGAAATCAGGTACATCAAGGTTCAGGGCAGGATTTAGAATCTTAATATGAGGAGACTGAGCAGATGTAAGGGGTGACGAGGCTGACGCTGAGGTGGGTGAAGGAAAAGTATCTAAAAGTGGAAAAGAATGTCTAGCACCAAAAGGAATGGGAACCCTAAAACAAACAAATGGATGTCACTGCATGATTAAAAGAGAATACAGGCAGGAGTGAGGAAGGTTTTGAAGAAAAACATGCACGATTGCAGCAGACTGCGTATGGCTGAAATGTATCTAATTTCAGCCATCCTCTGAAATCTATCTAATGTCTAATTTGTCCACCTTCTCCCTCACTTTTGTGGGTCTGGTATTCTGTCTGTGGTCAGCTTAGAGAACGGGAGGGTCTGTGGGAGGAAAAAATGGTGAGAACCATTTTGCAGAAGTTGGGGATAAAACTGAGGCTTGATGTGTGCATCACCCTCAGTGTCAGGGTTTCGTAGCTGCTGGAATGTTGAAAAGCAAACTGCTGTAGATGTGCATGCATGTGGGTTTCAACTGTAGAGGCCTTGACTATAGCATGAATATCCTACAGGTGACGTGTAAATTAGGAAACTTTACCAACACTGCATGAAATACTCAACGGCCAAAAAATACTGGTACATGTGTTTAAGGGAACATCCAAGGGACGATTCTTGGAAGGGATGAAAAATGGCTAATGTTCACAAAAGCCCTTTTTCTCATGCTGTCTCTGTGCAGGAAATGTAAAACTCAGAGAAGACAGCAAACTATATGTCATTGGTAAGGTCAGAAGGTCAAGGATGTGTGAAGGTGTTCAGAAGGAAGTGGAACAGGGAGTGTGGAGCCTTCATGATTGAGTCAAGCCACCGTAATCGCAGTTCAGGTCGAAGGATCCCCCATCTGGTATCGTCGAAATCATGTGTTAAAGCACCAAGTCCAGAGAAATCTGAGACTGAAGAAAATGAGCACATTGGTGAGAGGGAGAGCATCATGCTGATGTACCAACCCCAGCAGCTTTTTCAACCCATCCACCAGAGAGTTCCTCACTGTTGATTTCAAGGAAGCGGTCTCCTAAATTTGGCGATCTGGGCCAAAAAATGTTCCAAATTCCATACCTGACACGAAGTGGGAGGAGTTGTCAATAGAAAGTAAAGGTCCGTAGTAGTATAAGGCCAAAGGAGAAGAGATTGGGATTGATGTGACATGAAAGATGCTCATTCAATGCGAGCCTGTGGCAAGGGGGACACAAGGAGACACAGGGAGGCTACAGTTACATACCAGTGCACCAGATATACAGTCGTCCTCTGATTTATTCAAACCCTCCCATTAAAGAAGGAAAAACAGCTGAAATAAGTTCAAATTCACAAAAGTAATAATAAATGTAAAAATTAATGAAAATCATGACATTGCTTTTGAATTGTGGTTCAACAGAAATATAAAACAAAAACAAAAAAAAAAAGGAGCAAATAATCATGATGGGACCCTAAACTAGTATTTAGTTGAACAACCCTTTGAGCCAATCACTGCAATCAAGTGTTTTCTGTAACTCTCAGTCAGACTTCTGCACCTGTTGACAGGTATTTTGATTTTGGCCCACTGCTCATCAGCAAAGTGCTCTGATTTGTCTGGGAAATTTTTTATTTTTTTTCCCCCAATTATTCTTTTCACCTACAATTCAAAAGCAATGTCTCATTTCACGAAATTATAATTTGGCAAATTTTTATTTATTATTATGTTTTTTCAGTTTCTAGTTATTTGAGTGACTTATTGTGAATTTTGCCTTTTCTTTAATGGAATCATATGAATACATTTAAGGATGGCTGTAGACATTTCTGCAAGTCCAGTGACACTGGGGCAGTTTTAATGTATTGTGTCCAAGTAGGATGATTGCGTTGTGTCTCCCAGAACAGCCGTTTCATGATACGCGTGATTTTAATCTGATTTGGGACACCTGGGGAGGGCTGATATACTTGGTTACACTGTTGAACGCGTCTTTTATCCCTAGAAAATTCATTACTTCATGAGTACAGAAGACAACAATATGAAGCGTTTACAAATGCTGAAAAAATGGCACATATGTAAATGTAAGAAGGCTTACTACTCGGAAAATATATACGCCAGAAGAGGCTGAAGAGATGAGCTCCAACAAGGACGATGGCATTGTGTCCTCCAGAACAGCCATTTCATAATGAGATCAATCTGATTTGGGACACTAAATCCTTCGAGGTTGTTGATGCATATGGCGCCGCTATAGCTCACCTGGTTGAGCTGGCGTCCTACGTATAGGGGCTACAGTCCCCGACGCAGCGGCCATGGATTCCAGTCCTGCTCATGACCTGTTGCTGCAGGGCCTTCCCTCATTCTCCTCCCCCCATGTTCCTCTCTCTCTCTCGCTATCTCTTGCCTATCTAATGAAGCCAAAAAAAAACTAGTTGGTTTATATTTCTGTAAAACCGGGCTCTGGGTGTTCATTGGAGAATCCCTCAAACTGGTGCCTGAATAATTCCCAGTTTCACTATTTCTTGTTGGTAAAACATTTGCTTTGGGGAGGACTGGAGGAAAAGTCTCAGTGCTCAGTGTTGGTTATAGAAAACAAAATCCTGCCATATGGTACAGGTGAACTGTTACAGCATTTTCACTCAGCAGCTTAGACGTTAATGCATGGTGATGGCGGCGCGCATAGACGCAGCGCCCCCTTCAGGAGACAATGAGAGTGAACGTTTTGCCTATTCCAGACGGGCATTTCACAAAACTTACTAATTAAATGATCCTGAAGAAACGCTCTCTCATCTTGCCTGTGCTACTGTGTATGTACAGCAAAATGACCATAAATTTGATCTGATGTGATAATGGAGGTGTACTGAGTGACTTTGAGAGGACAGTAAATTTACTCTGTTATACAAGCTGCACACTGACGACTTTACATTGTAGCAAAGTGTCACTTCAGCGTTTTCCCATGAAAAGATATAATCGGGCATATTTTTGTGACGTACCGTATGTAATGTGCAGAGTGAGGGATGGACGACATGACTGTCCAACAGACACTGAGAAGCAGAGGAGGGGAGGAGTTCAGATATCAGTTATAAAACTACATGTTGCTCAGGAAGTTGCCAGAGCTGCAGTTCTCTGCAGNGAGACCTCGGCGAAGACCCAGGACACGCTGGAGGGACGATGTCTCCCAGCTGGCCTGGGAACGCCTAGGGGTCCACGGATCGGGAAGTCTGGGCAGCTTTGCTAAGGCTGCTGCCTCCGCGACCCGACTCCGGGTAAGCGGGAGAAGATGGATGGACGTTTGTAAAGCTGGAATCATCACCAAACAGCCAAGTACCGGCAACGAGACTGACTCGGATGATGACGAGCGGGATCCGAGCAAGTTTGAATTAAACAGCTGTGCGACGTCGGCATCAGAGACTGAAGATGAAGAAGTTGATGGGTTTGTGGAAGAGGAATGGATATTATATTTTTCTGTACCGGTATTTGTTGTTACAACTAAGTTTAATAAAGTTGATTTACCAGACTGTGTTGTTTTTCTTAATGCATCTTACAATCCGGTGCGTCTTATGCGTGAACATAGACACAGTCTTGTCTTATCGTCCGAAAAATACGGTAGTTCCGCCTGCTACATTTTTAGCCGCCCAAGAAAAAAAACATCACACACAGATCGGTCATGCGCCCCCCCCATCATGTCACCATATTCTGAAGAGTTCAAGTAGGAACTTTTTCGGATGCGGCTAAGCAAAGAAAATGAAAAAGAGACACTAAGAGAAGAGGGGCTGTTGAAATTTAAAAAAAAAAAATGAAGATGATTATGTAATGTGCAGAGTGAGGGATGGACGACATGACTGTCCAACAGACACTGAGAAGCAGAGGATGGGAGGAGTTCAGATATCAGTTATAAAACTACATGTTGTTCAGGAAGTTGCCAGAGCTGCAGTTCTCTGCAGATCTCTGAAGATGGACGCCCAGGACGGAGCAGACCTCTGCTTTCCACAGCTCATCAACACCTCCTGCAAGAAGCCTGCCTCTCCTGAGTTCCAGCGTCTGCTTCTTCACATTGTGATGTCCTTTCTCTCTCTGGTCACTGTTGTTCTCAACCTGCTCGTCATCATCTCAGTCTCCCACTTCAGGCAGAGATGAACTGCTAACCTGCTTTTTTTCAGCTACTGTAGATTTACAAGTGAATTGTCTTTGACATAGTCATGAATGATGTTGCACTTAGAAATACTAAACTTACATTCTAACTTGCTGACTGCTTTTACTTTTGCAATAGATGTTTGTTAATTATGTTTTTGTCACTAAGACGTGACAGCTTGTTGGTTTACTGATGCTTTTCTGTCTCCCTCCAGGAAGCTGCAAACACCAACTAACATCCTCCTGCTCTCTCTGGCCGTCTCAGACTGTCTGGTTGGTCTTGTGATGACTCCGGGACACATCCTCACACAAAGACCCTGCTGGTTTCTTGGTATCCTCCCTTGTTCTCTGTATCATTACACAAGCTTCATTATTACCTCTGCCTCCGTAGGAAACATGGTGCTTATATCAGTTGACCGCTATGTGGCTATTTGTGACCCTCTGCATTACCCCACCAGAGTTACAGAGAGGAGAGTTAAACTCTGGGTTTGTCTGTGTTGGCTGGGTTCTGTTCTCTACAACATTTTATTCATAAAGGCTCAGCTGGGCAGCCAGTATTCCTGCTATGGAGAATGTCTACTAAATGTTGAACTCATTGGGGGAACTGTTGACCTTGTTTTTACCTTCATTCTTCCAGTTTCCGTCATCATAGTTCTGTATTTGAGGGTGTTTGTGGTGGCTGTGTCTCAGGCTCGTGCTATGCGCTCTCACACTGCAGCCGTCACACTTCAGCTTTCAGTAAATTCATCAACAAAGAAATCTGAGTTGAAAGCAGCCAGGACTCTGGGTATCGTTGTACTGGTGTTTCTAATGTGTTTCTGCCCGTACTATTGTGTCAGCCTTGCTGGAGGCAGTGAATTTTACACATTTCTTGTAAGCTGTATACTTTACTGTAACTCCTGTCTGAACCCTGTGATCTATGCCATGTTTTACCCCTGGTTTAGAAAAGCCATTAAACTCATTGTCACCCTGCAGATACTGCAGCCTGACTCCCGTGAGGCTAACATGCTGTAGAGAGGCTGACATGGCACCTGCTATGCAAAGATTGAGTGATATCAGGTGTCTAATGGTTCTCATGTTTTGTTTGACTGCCCGTATTACTGTACAATTTACTCTCTGCTCTATGTGCTGTATTTAAATAGCATCTAAACCCTGTGATCTACGCTGTTTCATCCGTGGTGTGCAAGAGCAGAAACTCGTTTTCACATTTCAGGTACTGCAGCTCCTGTATGGCCAACATGTTGCAGAAATGTGGTCTCTTACGAATCTCAGGGTATAGACATATGAATATTCACTGCACTTGATCAATACTTTGTGCTGCAAACGTATTTAGTGTAAGCTTGTGTAATATTTTTGTCGTTATATAGATGCATCTATAATGATTTCATGATAACCGTTTGGATTTTGCATTTTGTAAAACTGCAAACAGGTCATCAAGGGAAAGGAATGAGGGAAAGCTGCATTGGCTGAATTTAGTCTGATCCTTATTAACTGACATGTACGTAACATTTTACTGTTTACGCCGGTGGAGGTGTGAAGTTTTTTAAAAACTTTGTCATGTACTGATTTATATTAGAATTACAAAAGTGCATTTGCTAAAGTCTGTGCTTTGTGAGTGAGATAATAACCTGTCGAACTGTCTGGTGGAGTAGAATTAAAAGACTCAGAACTGTTGTCGTGTCTAGTTGGAGATGTTCATGCAAAGTAAATTTGTCTTCAAATTACATGCAAGGGACAGCATTTCAGTAACTACTACTTCATAGTGCTGGTGTGGGGAGAGGCTGATTCAGGGATTCTTTTAGTTTTTGTTCAGTATATGTAGATTCAGCATTAAATGGAGACAAATACTGTTTTCCATCTATAAACTAGAAACATACCTCATGTGCTGAGGTCACAGCAGCCACACTATCCAACACTAAGCTAACACACCTGTGAAGTATCATCTAGTGTTTCAGGCTTATATTAAAATAATTGTTTCATTTTTAAGTGTAAGGTTTTGTGATGTAACGCATATTTAAACTTGTGAAGCCCAAATATGAATATATCAACAAAAGATCAACAAAAACTAGAGACAGAGAAGTGTGATGTGAAATAACAATAAATAATAATTGACTCCAGTTTACCGGCTCATGATTTATTTTGTTTGTTTGTTTGTTTTTTTGATCTGTTTGTTTGTCTGAATCAAAGTTATAGAGTTTGTTGCCATGCAGGCTCCACGTGGACACGACAGAATGAGCGAGAATCGAAGGAGAAGCAGGAAGATTTGGTTGCAAAAAGAGGCCCATCGTCGGTCGTATGGAAGTGAATCTGACGATTTAAATCAGCATCACAAAGCTCTGAATGATGAGTGCAAAACCAGATCAAAATGTTATCGGAAGCAAACAAGTATTTCAGACGTCTCAGAAAAAGAAAAAATCATAAGGTAACAACACAGCATGGAGTGAGCTTAGTTTCCTATTGTCAAACTGTGGCAGGAAGTCCTTTTTTCATATAAATAATACTAAAAACACAAACGTCTCACTCGCACGAGAACTGTCACAAAAGTCTCTAAAAACCTAGGAGATACATACAAATATTCATATATGCAAATACACAAAAACAATAACCTCTCGATGTGGAATAATGGATCTGAAATCATAGATTCATATAAAAATATAAAAGTAAAATCAAAAGAAGTGTCATCTGAATTGGTGAGAAAAACAATTGTCTCCATCAGAACGCTCCCAGATTCTTCCAGCTTTTTAAAAATATATTTGTACTTTCTGTGCAGATGCACTCAGCTACAAAATCATCCAAATCATTCAAATCCTTTTGTAAGTAACGTTATTTACGATTCAGGATCACTTTTGTCATTGTGTCAAAACACAAAACAGAATTCCAGGGAACGGCCTAAAAACAGAGCTCAGATCAGTAGTTAAAAGATTTATCATACTCACTCATTCGAAACATGTTCACACACGCAGATATCCATGTCAGTTTCAACATACGCTCCCTGATTATTTTAAGACTGCATGTGTGACCTCACTGCTGAAAAAGCCTGGACTGGATCCATCTCAGCACCAGAATTATAGACCAGTATCCAAGCTACTTTTTATTTAAAAAATGTTTGGAAAAATAATGGCTACGCAGTTTTTTAGCAGCACTGGAGGATAACCATGCTTTTGAAAAATCCCAATCCGGTTTCCAGAAGTACCACAGCACCGAAGCGGCCCTGTTCAAGGTGACCAATGATCTTTTAATGGCAGCAGATGATGGTACGTGCTGTATCTTGGTACTTCTGGACCTCAGTGCTGCATTTGACACAGTTGATCAGAGCATTCTTTTAAACAGACTGAGGCACTGGGTGGGGATTTCAGGTACAGTTTTACAGTGGTTTTTAGCTTACCCTACTCATAGAAGGTTTTGTGTTGCAGTTAACAACCACAGGTCGTCATTTTATCCAGTTAGTAGTTAAGTATGGTGTGTGTCAGGGGTCTGTTTTAGGTCCAGTTTTATTTTCTTTGTACATGCTTCCCCTGGGGCCCATAATACAACGACATGGTGCTTTACTTCATTTTTATGCTGACGACATGCAGCTGTACCTGCCCGTTAAGGCCACTGACCCTGGGAAGCTGAGTGCTTTAACTGACTGTATTGCAGATCAGAGAAACTGGAAGTCAGAGAACTTCCTTCTGCTGGACCACACAAAAACCGACGTCATGGTAATCAGGTCCCAGCAGATGGCAAAACAAATTCTGCCATCTGCTGGCCCGCGAGTGGAAAACCTTCAGCCTGCTGCATGGAATCTGGGCATCTGGTTTGATTGTAACTTGAACTTTGAAAAACACACCACAAAACTCGTACAGTCATATTTTTATCATCTTAGAAAGATTTGCTCTTATTTAACTCTTAAAGATACAGAGCCGATTTTACGTGCTTTTATTTCCTCACGGCTGGATCACTGCAGCAGCCTTTTTACGTGTCTTACCCAGAAATCCGTGGACAGACTACAGACGGTGCAGAACTCTGCTGCCAGGCTTTTAACCAGGAAGAGGAATTATTGTTATTATTATTGTTATTATTATTGTTATTATTATTATAAGCAAAGTTAATGCACATGTGAAAGATACTGTACGAGTGCGACAGATAAATAAATATATAACAATAAGTTGTGTTGCACAAAGACATCGATAGATTGGACTTCATATAGTGTGGGTGATTTCAGGGCTTCTGTGTGGTCATGGATTTGGCAAAAAAACTATTTTTTAATCTTGTAGCGTTTGCCTGAAGGCAGACATTCAACCAGCTGATGGGTGAGCTGGGATGAGTCTTTTAAGATGCAATGTATTTTCTGCAGGCAAATAAAAAACGGCGGTTCAGAGCGCCCCGCCTTCTTGGTGAATCCAGTCGTGGATTTGTCATAATGAACACCATATTTGTGCACAAGGTGGTTCGTAAGTGTACCTGGTACCAGAGCATCAGAGGTCAATGATCAACTTCGTAGGCGTCTCATCAGACCAGCGACCGATCACTTAACAGCAGAGCAGATTGCGGCGCAAGGCTGCTGGACAGACCTGGTAAACCCAAAACGTGTAGTGAGGGTGAGCTGGGAAATTCTGGCCCCTGTCTGTGGGGTTGTCAACTCCCACCTCCAGAAGAGTTTCTTCTGCATCCCGGGGGAGGATGGGGACATGGAATCTGTGTGGGCCATGTTGGCTGTTAGAAGCTGTGGCCAGAAGGTCACTGGTGTTTGTTGTGGCGCCAACATAAGAATCGCGGTAAAGAGGTAAAGGAGGATGTCAGGCTGAGGAAGGAGGCCTCTCCTCTCCGGCCTTGTTGGCTCGGTGGTCTCCTGACGCAACAGACAGATTCTGGTCGGCCAAAAGAGCTGCAGTTGTGGCAGCTGCGGAAGCAAAACCTTGGGTCTGGGAGACGAAGATGGACTTTCGGCTGACTTTGGGAAGTTTCTCGGGGAAGAACTGCTGAGCTGGACGGGAGACGGTGTCGAGCAGTGGAAAGAGCACTTCGAGGAACACTTCAACCTGATTAACCTGATTAAGTTTCCTGCTCATGAGGCAGAGCCTGACAGTTTGTTTTTTTTTCACTCCAGATTTGTGACACATCCACACACAGGATAATCTGTCCGCAAAAATGAAAATGGATCTATAAGATATATAGAAAATTGAAACCTTACGACTTGCTCTAGTTGTACAAAGTGCTTCATAAGGCAGCTAAACAAAAGAGAAAAGTCAGTAAATCATCAGGCTTTAAAACACAGATAGAAACTATTTTGTGGGGGGAAAAAAAGTAGTAGACAGTCAAAAGAAAGTAAAACTTACTTAAAGTAAAATCTGACAAGGCTCTCTGTTCAAAGCAGTGTTGTCTCTGCTTTTGGACCCTGAACCCACCAGATGTCGCTGTGGAGCTCTATGCTGGTTTAAAATAACTAAGTGGGGAAAAAATGGGTCTTTACAGAGTAATAATCAAAGGAGAATATTTTATCAAGAATATCAATACTCTAAAAAGACCAGTTATGCTACCTAGATGATAGCGTTATAAACATTTATGCAGAGTTATTGTGGCCCCAAGCCGAAGTCATCCAATTAATAAATATGTACAGTTTTGGGGGGATGGTAGTACGCGGCAAGTGAGGTTGGTTTTCATTGTGAGTGAAATTGTGTGAATTACATTGATATGAAATTGCATTTAGTGTGCAGGTTTTGCCATTTTATGTGGCTCATTTAACACAGACCAGTCTCAGGTTGTACTGTGTGGATCACAGAAGAATCAGATGCTGCCACTCAACTTTTCATGCCAGAGACGCCACTGGTTAAAAGCATATTTTAAGAAGAGATTTCAAAGAGGTCAGCTGGGCCCTTTAAACAGACTCAATATGTCTGCTTAAAAATTTAAAAATGCATAAAACGCAGTGTTAAAAATCCCCAAAATATCTCTCAAAACATCCTGGCAGCCACGGTCAAAAGGCTTAAACAGTAGTGATGCGATCTGATTAAAGGCCTGGTAGCTGAGTTCTG